GTGGCTAGCATCTTCGCGAGCACCCTGTCCAGGATCTTCGGCAGGGGCGTCTGGCCCTCCTGCCAAAAGTCAAAAGAAGCAAGAGAGTGGCATCGGCGGCAGAACCGCCCTCGGCCGCAGCAGCAATGGGCAACATCAACTCGACGATCAGCGCAAGCAAGAAATTGAAAGGGCAACGCCGGGAGCATAGGAAGGGGCGGGCGGGTGCAGTCGAAGGAAGGTTGCTGCGACGGCGAACCTCGAGGACGAACAGGCCGCCAGACGTCGGCCCAGGCCAGACAGCGGCCCATCAACTGAAACCTCTCCCCCCCGGGCCCCAGGCCAAAGATCGAATGGCGGAGGGTGCTGTCGACCTTGCCGCCGCCCTGTCGCGAGGCGCCAACCCCTTTCAGGGCCCGCTCGAACGACGCTGCGTCTTCGATAGGGCGAGGCGCGAGCGAGGCGAGGACAGCGGAAAAGGGGGCGAGGGGGGGTGGGGGCAGGCAGCCCGAAGAGAGGCAGGGGACGAAGGACGACGGCACATGGGGAGGCCCCCGCTCCCCGCAGCCGCTGGTTGGTCCTTGTCCCCGAAATTCTTCGACCTGGCGTACGCGCACATGGCCTTCGCCTTCTCGGGGACGGATACGCCCTTCGCGTCCTGTTGGTACTGCGCGAGCTCCTGCGGGCCGAGCGGGCAGGAGGCAGGAGGCGGGGGTCGACGTGCGGGGCGCGGGGTGGGGGGGGCAAACTAGGTGCGCAAACGTCTTATCTGCCGTCCTACCCCTCCCTCCCTCCCATCCCCTAACATGGCGTAGATCTTCTCTCTATCAACACAGTCGGGTGTCGTGGCATGGCGTAGCATAACATGTCGTTGAAGATCGTAGCATGGCATAGCGCGGCATGGCCCAGGGCCCAGGGCCCCTCCGCAGTCAAGCACTGCATATCGCATCATTGACTACGGAGGCGTGCCATCGAACAGCAGAACACAACATGTCATTGCAGTCATTGCATTTCACGCCGTCGAATAGCACGGGACTGAGGTCAGCGCTGCAGCGGGGGCGCGATTCGGAACGAGCGGGCCCCCGCGCGCAAAAACACAGCACGCGAAGGGGGCGCAGTCAGTCAGGGGGTCAGGGGAGAGCGGAGATATATTGTAATGAGTGATTGCGAAGGGGTGCGGAGGTGAGGACGCGGGCGAGAGGAAGGGGGGCGCACGGGGCGACGGAGGCAAGGAAGGAGCGGGAAGAGGCGGGGGGGAGGATGGGCCCAGATGGGCCGATGGGGATCGCCTTCTCCCCCATGCTTCTCCCTCTTCCTGCTCCGATCACCCCCGGCAATGCAACAATGCATCTCCTCGTCCTCCTCCCCTGCCGCGGCGCCGCACCGTGACAGAAGAGCAATCAGGAGGAGGAGGAGGAGGAGGAGGAGGAGGAGGAAGAGGAGAAGGAGGTCCAGGAGGAGGAGAATGCCCCCGACCCCCGACTCGACCCTCGGATCGAGGATCGATTCGCGACGATCGGGGCCAAGAGCCGCACGAAAACCCCCCCCCGACCCCCTGAGGGCCCAAGGTCCCAAGCACTCCGAAATCCGAGCAGGCCCAGAGCACCACTACGACCCCCAACCCTCAACCCTCGTGGCGGGCACGTCAGAAAACGACTCGGGACGAGGGTGCGAGGCTGAGCTGAGCATCCCCCCTCTCCTGTCCCCCCACTCAATGTCCCACTCTCCTCCACGCTGCCCTCGGCCCCCTCCGCTTCCTCCTCCTACTTGTTCTCCTCCCATTCCCTCGCTGACCACCCGCTCTTTTTTTACAAAAACCGCCCCGGGGAGGGCGGCCGCTTCCCAGCCGCGGCCCAGGCGCCCGAGGACTGGCCCTCCTCGGCGGCCTCGGCCTCGGCCTCCGCCGCGGGCCGCTTCTTCCCGGCCCTGGTCCAGTCGCCCCAGGCGTCGTCCTCCTCCGCCGCCGCCGCCGGCCGCTTCCCAGCCGCGGTCCAGGCCCAGGCGCCCCAGGACTCGTCCTCCTCGGCGGCCTCGGCCTCGGCCTCCGCCGCCGGCCGCTTCCCAGCTGGGGTCCAGTCGCCCCAGCAGGACTCGTCCTCCTCGGCGGCCTCGGCCTCCGCCGCCGGCCGCTTCCCGGCCGCGGTCCAGTCGCCCCAGGACTCGTCCTCGGCCTCCTCCGCCGCCGGCCGCTTCCCGGTCGCGGCCCAGGCGCCCCAGGACTCGTCCTCGACCTCGGCGGCCTCGGCGCCGCCGCCGCCGCGGCGGCTCAGGCCCAGGCTGCGGCTGCGGCGGCGGCGCGCTGCTGGGCGCGCCTTGGCTGGCGCCTCGCGGGCCCCGCGGTCGCCGCCCGCCAGCGCCTCGGCCCCGCGGTCGCCGCCCGCCAGCGCCTCGGTGGGCTGCGCCATCGGCGGCGGAGGACCTCTCGGCGGACGAGGTTGCATCCGCGGACGCGGAGGAGGCTGCATCCTCGGCGGCACCTGCACCGACTTGGCCCTGGCCTGCGGAGGTGGCTGCATCCTCGGCGGCACCTGCAGGACCTGCGGCGGGGGCGGGAACGCGGGCGGCTGCGGCACGCGCCTCCAGACGCCCACCTCAGGCAGCGCAGCAGGAGGAGCTGCAGAAGGCGCCTCAGGCAGCGCAGCAGGAGGAGCTGCAGAAGGCGTCGCAGTCGACGAGGACGAGGAAGTGCACCTCCTGCTGCAAATAGCGGGCCACCTCCTGCAAATTGCGGTCCAGGAGTCGGCCAGCCGCACTACCTCCTCGGGGTCCGCCTCGCAAGACAACTGCGTCAACGCCTTCAGCACGTCCGACAGCTCGTTGCAGACGGACGCGACGTCGACGCCGGCGGCCTCCATGGACGCGACCGACTCCTGCTGCAGCAGCTCGCGGATCCCCTTCTAGAAAGGCACCAGCTATACACCAACACCGATCCTGGCCAGGATCACCCTGGGCCTGCAGGATCGGTGTATACGCCCTCCTGCCTTGCTTAAGAAGGCATATGCGGCATATGCACCGATCCTGGGCCCAGGGTGGTCCTGGGCCAGGATCGGTGTTGGTGTATAGTTGGTGCCCTCCGACCTTCTCTGCGGAGGCGCAGATCTGCTGGTGGACGTCGTCCAGCGACGAGGTGCTGCTGCGGCCAGCCGCGAGAGCGTCCAGCTGGCGCCGGAGCCGGCGGACTTCCCGGCCGGCGCGAGGCATGCAGCCAGCGCCGCAGCGGCGCAGCCGCGCAGAGGGCCCGGCCCAGCGGCGCAGCCGCGCAGCGCAGAGGGCCCAGCGGAGCAGCCGCGCAGAGGGCCCAGCGGCGCAGCCGCGCAGAGGGCAGCGGGCCGCGGGCGGGCCCAGCGGCGCCGCCGCGCAGAGGGCTGCCGGGCTGCCGGCGGGCGGCCGTGCGCGCAGCCGCGCGGCCGGCGGGCAGCCGCGCAGAGGGCTGCCGGCGGGCGGCAGGCTTGGAGCCAAAACGGCTACGGAGGACAAATGAGCATAACAATCGAAAGATGTGGGCGGACAGGCGGACCTGCGGCCGCGTATATCGAGGATCTGGGAATCCAAACATACCTGCTTCCAACGGCGGGACGGCGGGGCCTGGTTGGGCCTGGGCCAGCAGCGGGAAGCGGAGACGAGGCTGAGGGGCAACAGGAGGAGCAGCGCGAGGAGGGCCATCAGCGGGAAGTGGAAGGATGAACAGGGGGGCTGGAGGAGAAGGAGGAGGAAGTGGAGGAGAGGAGTGGGGGGGGGGAATGAGAAGGGCAGCATCATGAACAGGGGGGCTGGAGGCTGGGGGCGAGGAGAGGAGGTGGAGGTGAAGAGAGGGGGGGGGGGCCCGCTTTCACGCATGGGTTGCGCTTTGAAGGCCCCGGGCTCCTTCAACGCCCACTGCATCACGATGCACCTCCGGCCGTGGCGCCGCGCGCTGTTCAGCGCAATCCGACCTGCGAGCGGAAATCGTTTGCAGCAAAGGCCCGCAAATGCATATGTTTGAATCGTCGTCGCCACCGGGAATGAGAGGGTGAACACGAGTGGGAGTAGAGGGAGGTGAGGAGATGAATCGGAGGATGGGCAAGGAGAAGAGTAAGAAGAAATAGCACATGGGATAAAGAGGAGGACGGAAGGCGGCAGAGGCAGAGGAAGAAGGAAAAGTGAAGGAGGAGGAAGGAGGAAAGAGAAGGGGGGGTACTAAAAGAGGGTAGGAGGAAGGAGAACGGATAAGTGATGTAAAAAACACTCGGCCGCCGTCGCTGCACAAAAACACTCGACCATCGTCGCTGCGTTCCAAAACACAACCAAGGTTAAACAACACAAGAGTGAGAAGAATGCCATCTAGCACATCATCATCATCATCACCACCATCATCATCATCAGCATCATCATCACCATTCTGCTCGCCGTCGTCCGCCTCCTGCTCCTCCCACTCCTCCATCATGCTTCCTCGCCCTCCTCCTCTTCCTCCTCCTACCTCCTCCCGCTTCTCTCCAGCCCTTGCTGAACAACCGACTGCAATGCGTGAGAGGCTGGGGCGAGAAATGGATGACCTGGAGACTTCTTCGCCTTGGGGTAAACGGTGTCCATGTTCCCCAGGACCCCCAACGTCGAGCCGGCGAGGGAGATGAGCTTCTTCTCGTCCATCGTCTGCACCATGACCGCTCGGGATTAACCCGCCAGGCCGTGGCGCCGCGAGTGCGCTCGGGGGGCGATCGCGGGAGGGGCGGCCAAGGAAACAGAAAACGGCCTGGGCCCCCTCGGCGCGACGAGGACCAACGGCGGCAAGGAAGCCAGGTCGCACGAGCACAAGGGGAAAAGTGAGACGGGGTAAGGAGGGGTGCCGGGGGAGAAAGGGCGAGGGACTAAGAACTGGGCTCGGGCAAGTGGGGGCGAGTGGAGCGGGGGGAGGAGAGGGCCAAGCGATGCCCGAACATCAGCCGAAGTCCGCACCAACGGTCGCATCGCCTGGTCTGGTCGACCCGATCCGACCGCATCGGCCCGAGGCTGACAATTCTCATTCGGGATCGGCGGCGGAGCCATCAGGCTGGCAGCTTGGCGAGGTTCTTCTGCAAAGCCCCATCGCCGATGAGACGGAAGTTGTCCAGGAGGCTGCTCGGGGGGGCGTACTTGTAGATGACGTCGGCAAGCTCGGAAGCCCTCTGGTCAAAGAGCGCCGAGATCTTCTGCTCCATCTTCGTTAGTGCCTTCACTGCCGCCGAACTCCTGCGCTGAATGTCCATGTCCTTGCCCCAGCCCTCCTGGGCCTCATACTTAGACGCTGATGAACTCGTCAACCATGCAGTGTACGTGTCGAGCTGAGCCTTGAACTTCAGGAAGGTGTCCGCAACGCAGCCGGTGACCTTCAGCTTCGCGACGTTACCTGCTTCAATGTTGCTCAAGGCGTCGACGGCCGCCGAGACAACGAGGTTGTGCCGCTGGAGGAAGAACATGCGCCCGCCGTCAATGTCTCCGAGGCTCACGTCCTTGACCCGCTCGACTGCGCCAGCGACATTCACCTTCAGGGCGCCATACCTTCCTAGAACCTCTGCCAAGTCAGGCGCGTGGCCCTCGGGCGCGTCGATAGCCTTCTCCACCGAGGTGATCACGTCGTCAGCAACCTTGCGCGCCGCGAGCAACGTCTGCGCGGGCGCCTCGAGGGTTCGCAGGAGGACATCTGAACAGGCGGGCATGATGGAGGTTCTTAGGCACTGCGCAAATGTGGCGAGCTTGGGTAAGAAGGAGTCCATATCCGCAGACAAAGACGAAGCCCTCGGGCCCTGCCAAGCGTCGAGCGGCGCAGCAATCTCGGATCTGCAATTCATGAAACTTTCGAACACACGGCTCATCCTCTCGCATATACCAGACGCGCACTGCAAACTGGACGCCGGCTGCTCCGACGACTTGCCTGCCGCTATAGCTGGGATGGTGCCGTCGGAATAGAGCAAGACGAAATCGTGTTCCCACTGTGCGGTCTCGCGAACCGCGCGTGACCACTGCTGCTGCATCTGCGCCTCGCAGTCAGGCCCCCCCTCCATCTTGCCAGGGCGCGGGCCCGGATCAATGGCGTCGACGAGGGCCTTCAAGAAGGGCGGGGGAAGGGCGGGGCGGGAATGTCAAACTCCCGGCCCTATCCTGAACAACCCCACGCCGCCCCACTCGCAGCGCAGGAGGAGGGGGAGGAGGAGGAGGAGGAGGAGGAGGAGGAGGGAGGAGGAGCAGGGAGGAGGAGCAGGGAAGAGGAGCAGGGAGGATGAGGATGACAGGGAGGAGGAGGAGGAGGAGGAGGAGGAGGAGGAGGAGGAGGAGAAGGAAGGAAGAGGAGAAGGAGGAGGAGGACAGTTCTGCGAGCTAGCCGCCATGCGAAGCGTAAACAGAACGAATCATTGATCTAACCTCGGGGCCAATGGGACTGGACTACCAAACATGAAATCAGTTCCCCCTCCTCCTCCTTGCTCCACTCCCTCCTCCTTCCTCCTCTCCCTCCTCCTTCAAGCCCTGTATGTGTCGACAGGAAGAGCGACTGCTCCTGCCCCTTGTAGCTGCGGCGCGCCGTTGTCGTCCACGAGGAGCTTCTCAATCAAATGGACTCCGCCCGCCCAAGTAGCGGCCACAACCGCGGACCGAACGGCGTCGGCGTACTGGCGGGCATCCGCGGGGCAGAACTCGTTGAACATGTCCAGCCGAGCTTTGCCCTCCGTCGACTGTTGCCTGATCGTCAATGTCGAGGTAGTCAAGGTGGCCACTTGGTCTTCAAACGAGGGTTTGGCGCCCTCCTGCTGCGTCGATCTGGACAACGTCTCCGTCTCGGCCTTCACCTTGCGCAGCCAATCGGACAGCTGGGTAAACTCGCGGCGTCGCTCCGTGGCCATTTTTACCAAGGGCGCCCCGTGCTTGGGGAATCTGACGAAGTAGTTGGCTAGGTGATCGTCCTGCCCATCGGTGAATCGGAAAGTCGCGCGGGCAAGCGGGCCAGGGGGGAAGGCGAGAGGCCGGCCGGAGGCAGCGGATGAACAGGGAAGGGCAAGAAGCGGGGGAAGGGGGAGAGGACGGTGGTCGAGAGGGGGGGTGGGGAACGGGGCAGCACCATTCAAGCGGCGAGGGTTGGCGGCCAGGGGGGCCGGGCAGCGCCAATTCGAACCTTGCTCTCACTACTCATCGCCATTCCAATTTCACCCTTTGCCACGCCTGCTCTGTCCAGGCGCGCGCAACCCGCCCCGATAACCATGAGAGCACAGCAATGGTGCGCCTCGAGCCCCAGCCCCCAACGGACGAGGAGGGACGGAGAAGGACGGGGAGGGAGGGGGGAAAGGTGGAAGAGGAGAGGAGGGAAGGAGGAGGAGGGGGAGGAGGACAATGGGGGCGGACATTTCGCGACCCAGGTCAGGCCATGGCCACCGACGCGTCGGCCTTCACCAGACGCTGCAGCGGCTCCACCTGGAACGTCGCCTTCGGCAACTGGGCGAGCGCCTGGACGTCTCGCAACTGCGCCACGACGCTTGGGTCGTACTCCTCGGGGGCACTCGCGATCTGCTTCAAGATAACATTCAACGCCTTGCCCAACTCTGCCTTGACGTAGCCCAACGGGCGCGCGCTCGTCAGCGCAGCCGTGAGAAACTCGCCAAAATACTTCGCCTGCTTCGACGCGGCCTCCAAGAGGTGGGCCGGCAGAGGGCCGGCCTCCTTGACGGGGCCAGCCTCGTCACTCGCGGGGGTCCGCTCATCGGCCATCAGGATGTCCGTCAACGGCACCGCGCCATTCGGCGCCCGGGCCTCGGGGGGCTCGGCCGAAGGCGAAGGCAGCGGCGGGGCGCAAGCCTCGAACATCGTCGCCAATTGCGAGCGCGTGAGCAACTGCACCAGGGAGTCGGCACAGTCGAACGGTCTCGCGGCCTGAGCGGGGCGCTCGAGCAATGAGCAGAATAGAGCGCGAGAAGGGGGGGGGGCGGAAGGGCGAAGGGACAGGGGAATGATGAACGGAAAACTAAGACCAGAAGAAAAGAAACAAAAAAAGGAAACGAGAAGGGCAGATGACGGGCGGGGGCCGAAGCAGCGGGGGAGAGGGGGAGGATAGGAGGGGGGGGAGGGGGAGGACAGAGACAGAGACAGAGAGAGAGAGGGAGAGAGGGATAGAGAGGCATAAACAGCACTTCCCATCCGCCAGGCTCCAGAGGCCTTCCTCATCACGTCTGAATCCCAGCGAGAAGCAACTCCCCGATCGCTAAAATCTGAAGCCGTGCGGCGCGACAAGGCCCGGGCCCGGGGCGCCCCGAACAAATGCCCTATAAGCAACAGCGCAGAGATGGCGCAGCAAAAGGCTCCTTGAGCGTGATGTTGGTGTGCCACAAGAACTCGCAATCGATCTCGACGGGCGGGTCGGCCAGCGCGAAGGCGGTCAACGAGTTCCACTCCTCGTCGAAGCTCACGAAATGCTTGTCAGCATCTCCTCCTTGGCGGTTCTTCCATTTCTTATAAAGCTTACAGCCCATCTCCATCACCTGGAACGTTTTGGCAATGAGTTCGAAGGCATGCTTCTCTGTCTCGTCTTTGGTAGCTGCTGCTTTGTTGCGCGCAACCCCAGCCCAACGCACGAGGGAACGGATCTTGGTCGTCGCATCGCTGCCGAAGTAATTGGACCGCTCGTTGCACTGCCTCCACGAGCGACGATTTTCCTTCAACGTCTCCTTGACGTCCAGTTTTGGTCGACCTGCTGTTTCCTCTTGGTCTGTGTCATCGTCGCCTACTCCATTGTCACCAGTGCCACCCACCTTCGCCGCCTTTGCCTTTGTCTTCGACTTCGATGTTGCCTTTACCACCTTTGTCGTGCTGGCTGAAGTTGGAGCCCTCTTGGCAAGTGGCGCGCCTCCGTCGTCCGAGTAGAGGTCGTCGTCGGTGTCGGAGTCGTTCGCCGCCCGGACGAAGAAGCACATGGAATTGGCCTTCTTGGCCGGCGCCTTGGCCTTGGCGGCGCGCCGCTTTTTCTGCTGATGCGCCTTCTTCAGCTTGGCAGCCTCGTTCTGTCGATCTTCTTCGTCCATTATGCATTCCTGGAGCACGCTGAACACGGCGCCCCTGCATACGCTGTTGTACGCTTCCGTGCTTGCCTTCGTCAAGTCGGCGAACTTCTCGGCTGCCGCGGACTCCCCAGACTCGCTGCCCAAATCCTCGGACTCCTCGTGCTCCAAGGTGGAACCGAGCTGAGTCTTGATCTTCATTGGCTCGTCGCCTTTCGATCCCGGGACGGCCACACCGCGGACGCCTTCCATGACGCACACGACGTGGTTGAGAGCTTTATTCTTGGGCAACTTCGGGTCACCGAAAAGTTTGCGATACTGCGCCATCGGGTAAAATAAATCCTCCGGTTTCTCCAGGAAACGATTCTGATACCTCTTCTTCCTCACGTGGAACCTCTGCTTCGTCTTGCGGCCTGAGGGCCGCAAGCAACGCGACAAGGCCGCGGCTGCAGCCTTCCCCAGCCCGCACTGTGGAGCCCTGCCCCAAGGGCAAGCCGGGGCCGCGGGGGGTCCGAGGTCGGCGACAGCCGCGGACTTGAAGTGGGGGAGAGCGGGGAAGGCGAGAGCGGCTGCCGAGCCTGGACTCCTCTTTGTCTTCAGCATCCTCTTTATCACGGACTCCTTGGTCTCGCTGCGCTTCTGCTGGAAGGCCTCCCTTTTCGTGTTGTCCTTGCCAAGTTGCTTGGCATAGTGCTCCCTCTCCTGGTCAGGCCCCTCCTGCAAGTGCCTCACTTTGGTGCGCCAAGTCTTGCCGCATAGCCAGCAACACGAGCCCTGCGAGGACGAGGGGGCCGACGCGTCCTCGGTGTCGTACTCCCACCTGATGACCTTGCGCTGTGGGTCGCACGGGTCAGGGCTCTCGTTCCAGATCGCCCCGCACTGCATGGCGCAGAACTTCTTCAGCCCCTTCCGCTGCTCCGTCACCTGCCCCGAAGCAGCGCGAGGGGCAACGGCGGGGGGCGCAGCAGGATGACGGCGGCGTCGGGCGTCTTGGCTGGGCGGGCCCGCGATCGAGGAGAGAGGAGGGGAGGGCCGGGCGGGCCGGGCGGGCCCGCGATCGAAGAGATCGAGAGACACGAGAGGCGGCGAAGCTCGAGGCAATAAAAACCTGGAGGGCCGAGAACAAACGAGGGGCGAGGAAGGGGGGGGCAAGGCAAGGGCACAAGTGGGGGAAGGGGGGCGACGGCGAACAGGGCGGAGACTACAAATACCGCCCGATTCGCCAGTGGACACCTCAGGCTCATCTGCCTCGCCTGCGGCGTCGGCGCCCTCGTGCGCAACCGACGGGCGGTAGCCGCGGCGATGTCGATGCGCCCGCCTCCCCCTTTTGCCGCCCCCTCCCCCCGCACTCACCCGCGCCCCCGCAACGTCGCTCTGGCGCATGCCGCATGGCTGGGGGAGCATCGCGGGAGAGGCGGGGGCGGGCGGGGGCAGCGGGCGCGGCGACGGCGCTGCGGCACGCGCGCTTCGACTGTGGACCTCGGGCGCATCCTCTAGCGCGCCGGCCGCGTCTCCGTCGGGCGATCTCTGCCTCTGCTTCTGCCTCGTCTTCTTCGCCCTGGAGTCCTCGCAGCCCTCGGGCGGCTCCGGGGGCGGGGCGCGCGCGGATCCGCTCGAGCCGCTCGGCGGAGCGCCCCGCGCGTCCTGGCGGGGCGAGAGCTGGGCTGGGACGAAAGACGAGGGAGGGGCGGGCAACTGGCTGCCCTCCTCCTCCTCTCCCACCTCCTCCCCCCCCTCCTCCTCCTCCTCCTCCTCCTCCTCCTCCTCCTCCTCCCCCTTGCGTAACCAACCCCCATCCATTGACCCTCCTCCCCCTCCTCCTCCTCCGCCTCCTCCTCCTCCTCCTCCTCCCCCTTCTCCCTTTAGCCGTAGCCGTAACCCTCCTCCCCGTTTCCCCATCAACCCCTGCCCGTCCTCTTTCAACCCGCCCTTGGGCGGGTCAGGCCCTTCGCTCCTTGTCGTCCGCGACCTCCTCCTCCTGCTCTGCGACCTCCCCCTTCTTGGTGCGTTTCTTCTTGTCCGCGACCTCGTCCTTCTGCTCTTTCTTCTCCTTCTTCTCCTTCTTC